GGGTTTAGGGTTCACGTTTTGTTGCAGGTCAGCTTGTTGACTTTCAAGTTTGAAATCAGAGTTATGGGAACTCAACTTGTCAGACAGCAACCTTTTCTCGTGAGCTTAGTCTGAAATCAGCAGTCTGAAATCAGCTTCGTCTGAAATCAGCAGTCTGAAATCAGCATAGCCATGATGCCTGCCACTCCTGAGTGGCCAGCCACTGTGCGTTCTCCCGCAAGGATGCGCAGAGGTTTTGCGAGATGCTGGCCGAAGCGCACGGTCCAGCCTATGTGGACGACACATTGAACGATGGTTTGCAGAAACTTTTTCAGCGGTCCTTGAAGGATCAGGAAATGGATGGGGACACAAGCAAAGATGCCTTGTCTGAAATCAGCCGTCTGAAATCAGCAGTCTGAAATCAGCATAGCCATGATACCTCACAAAGCGGCTGTTTTCACACAAACCCAAAACCCTGACAAAGTACGGGGGCTGAAAACAGCCACAATCCGGGGAAAAAGGCGAGGTAGAAGTAGTTGCCTCTTGGTTTGTGCCTTTTCCTAGTGCAGAGAAGTGCCTCCAGGCAACCTTACCCGGAGAATGCCCGAAAAGTGTGAGTGTAACCAAGTCATGCGCTGAGAGCAGGCAGGCTCGGGCAGGGGTGCTTAGGGTGCTGTTCTAGCCTTTTAGCCGCTACAGGGTCTCGACTAGGGTACGTGCAAACCGAGCCTGTTGAGTTTGACACGGATAGAATGTGGATTGTGTTGTGGGCAGAAGTCACGATCTTGCTGTCGCCGGTGCTGCTTCGTCGGAATATAATATTAACATGTGCTTGACATTGAGCAAAAGGAATGAAATGAGCACGGGTGTCAGTGTGCGGAATGACAGCGTGAGTTTAAACCCAATGCCAAGGCCTGCAACCTTCAAACCGACCAGTGCTGCAAATCTTGCATGGAATTGTCTGTTTTGTTCTCGCCGTTGTGATGAATTGCTTCAGCCGCGCATTGCTCAAGCTGTTGTATTGTTTGTTCTTCCTTAGCCTTGAAACTTGCCCTTTCATTCCGAGGGCCATGTGGTTGAACATCCGTCAAGTCGCTGCTGGCCTGGAGACCTCTTTGAAGCTTTCCTACCCAGATACAGACAAGTTGATGTGGCTTTGGTATTTCCACAACCTCCAAGTTGTTCTGGACTCCTTTGTGGATTCCAACGAGGGTTCTGAGCAAATTTTCTGGCTGAGAGCTATGGCAGATGTGTGCCGATTGTTGCAGAAATACATGTGTGAAATGCAATTCGATTTCCGTCCGGATTATTGTGGGCCTTTTCCTCCAACTCCTCTGGGGAGGCTTGCTCCTCCTGTGTGCCCAGACCAAAAAGAAATGGGTGATCACTTCTTTGAGGCCAAAGAGTTCCTCCAGAAACATTCGGATGTCTTTCTCCGCCAGAGCTGCTGGTACAAGATCGCCTTTGAGATTGAGGAAACTTTGAAGGATCTCGAATATGTCCCTTCACCCACATCCAAGGACGATTCGGAAGACTAAGACTTGATTCAATGTGCCACAGTGGCCTTCGGCTCAGCATCTAGGGAGCCGGAATTCTGCAAGTGCCCCAGGCCTCATGTCAGCGACGGCGAATAGTGGAGCTTTCCCTCGTTGCCGCTATACTGTACGGTGCTGTAGTGGTGACCTAAGTAGAGTAGGTTCAGGTGGTCAGACAGAGGCGGGCCAGTTTGAGTGGGGGACCAGTCCATGTGTCGTTTTATGCTAGTAATGGGTAGCATTGAGTGGTGGGTGGTGAATCCCCCCACAGGTCCCTAATCACAGACTCGGCTAGCAAAGCCCTTCTCAGCGAGCCGCTGATTCAGCACGTTCCTGGGTTGCGGGGAAAATGGTGAGCCGACTGCTGCATGAGTTTATAGTGGGGTTTAAGGACACGGTTTTATATGGTTTTGTCTGGGAGAGCAACCTTTTCTTTCTCGTGAGCTTAGTCTGAAATCAGCAGTCTGAAATCAGCCGTCTGAAATCAGCTTCGTCTGAAATCAGCTTCGTCTGAAATCAGCAGTCTGAAATCAGCATAGCCATGATGCCTGCCACCCCTCAGCCGAAGCGGCATTCCAACTAACCGAACGGGCGGGAGGAAAAGAGGGCTCCTACACCTTTAGACCCGAACAACCGTAAGCCCCATATCCTTTCACCCTGCGATAGGCTCACAGACCACGGGGCACATGTGATAGGCCGCGGAACCGTCAGCACTATTAACTCTACATTGTGTCCGTGGCAACTCTGAGCCAACTAATTAGTAACTTCGCATGACTACGCATGTGCATGTATGTGTCAATTTGTTGTCTCCGACATGCATGTCACCTTTGGCCAGCTCGATAAAGGCCACAGAGTCTGAGGGTGAGCATGCATCCCCCCCCACAAACTCTTGCCCGTGCCGATAGAACTTATGCTCAAACTAAGCGCCCCAGCAGTTGGACCAATGAGAACCAACCCAGGCCCAGGCCCGGACATCCTTTCACCGCATGAGTTGAGTAGGGAGTGCTTATGGGGCTGGGGCCTCCAGGTTTTGCTGAATGCTTTCCCTCCGGACCTCTCATATGTCGCTTCTTCCCGACTACTCACTCGCCTTAGACGTATGCGAAGCATCATACCACTTCGGCATTGTGGAGCCGTCCTTTGGAGTTACTGGGTTACGATTATGGACGTTCTTACGTCTAACATTGTCTCTCATGAATCTGATCGACCGCCCTACGTTAATGTGCTCGATAATAACAGGATTTTTATTTGGTCGGAGCAGGTAAGTTTCCGTATCTATTGTACATTGGACTGTTACTCGGGTATTTATACGGGATGGAATCTCCCCTACTCTTGGCCCTCCTGTGAACTTCGACTCGATACTGAGAGAGTGTGTTTCGGGGGAGTGGAAACTGATCGACGCCCTCTAACGTTGGTATCACACTTTCGTCTGATGCACCCAGGCCGACCCTCTGACCACTCATCGTCTACTGTTTCCCCATAATGCTGAATCTTGTGTCTCAATGCTTGGAGCTTGCTTGCTTCCTTGGGCTTTTAGACCGCATTTGTTGCACTGCTGTGATTTCCGTAGTCCCCTCCTTAAAGCACCTCCCCTCTACTGCTTCTTGGGCTGAGTGTCCTGAAACCCAGCTGATAATGCCACTTAAGGCCTGAGGTTTCGGATCCGGAACGAGTTACAAACAATGCCGCCTGGGGTGGCTAGAGTAGCTGTAGATGCACTGTACTCCCAGTTTGCACATAATAATAGATACGTAGCTGCCCCGTCATCACCCGGGTCCATTAAGAAACCCAAAACCACCCAATTCGACTCCTATACCTCAGAAGATACTCAAGCCACTCTCCCCTGGCGCTCAGACTTTGCGATCGGAGGGTGACAATGTTGAAGCAGGGACGTGTGTAAGACATGCCCCAAGGAGTGCTGGCAGGGGTTTGGGGTCTTTTCAGGCCCTTAGGGTTGCTTTCTCTCTGTGTGTTCTGACTCTGTTTCTAAGCTCCTGAACCCACAATTTTAGCATGTTTTATTCCTTCTTCCCCCCTTTAACCTCGATATATCTTGGGTCTCTTGGGGTACTTACTCGCCTTGGTAGGTCTCTGCGATTGATTGTAAGAAGCTAGATCCTAAGAAACCACGAACCCTCGTCAGTGCTACAGCCATGGCCGCAGTCGAACACTGGGTGTTGCACGATGCTGCACACTGATTATGACCCCGGCTGTCAGTGCAAAGAAAGGGGTCACTCTGCGCTGCTTCTGGCAGGCTTGTGGTACAAAGGCGATATGAGATACTGACAGCTGACTGCGAGGATGCATGCTATGTCGTGGATAATGAATCCTGAGAATCCTGAGAATTTATTGCATGATGCCCGTGCCACACGATGAGTTTCTGACAACTGTTTTGAATTTACTGCAAGCCAAAGCTGGATCACGATGATCAAGCACAACGAGATCCTGGCGCCCATCCTGGGGGTTACTGCAAGTGTTGTCAGTTGCTGTGATGTCTCTTCATAGACGAGCCTGAGTTCGCGCCATGGAAGTGTGTAAACCTAACACACGGCATGGTAATTTGAGACTCTGCTCGCGACAGCCATGATAGCTTTCTTCGGATTCTTCCTGGCCCAACGCTGGCAGCAACACTGCAACTTTGCGTGTGCATGTAGCCTCCATATGCATGACAGTAACCCCCAGCACTCAGTCCATGGCTCCATTCGGTATCACCCCTTTGAAAAGTACAGCTGGTCAATACGACTAGGAACAGCGTGTATCATCGCGATGATGATACTCAACCAGATCACCTGTACCCGAGCCATCTCGGCTCTTTATAGTTTTTACGACATTTGCCTACCTATTATGTTACCTCCTCGAACCCGAAGAAGTGATCTGAGTAGCTACATTCTTCCCGAGGTCTTACTGGTTCTAGTTTGCTTCAATTCTGTAAGATCTTGGGAAGGGTTCAGTCGCTGCGGATACAGTCACTTTATGTGTTGCTATAGCCTGTTGCTTCGTACTGTGACGGACCCATCATCGGTTTCACATTGTCAGACTCCGCATCAATTGCCTCGCCTGGATTGTCCGAGTGTGAGCGCCGAAACCCTAAACCTTTAAACCCTTAACCTCGGAGGTCCATCTTGACAGGTCTTGTAAGTTTGTTGCCCCGACGGAGGCTTTGTGGTTCACTGAAGCTCCAAACCCTGAACCAAACCCCATATTATAACCCAGCAGTGCTCAGATTCACTCCCGCCAAGTTGACCTTGACAGCCCCCAAACCCTAAACCTTTAAACCCGAAACCTCGGGGGTCTTTTTTGGCAGGTCTTTTATAAACTATCTGAACCAGAGCTTGGCCATGGAAGAGTCTGGAGAGGTTTTTCGGTCCTTCTCCTGGACTTTGCCGCATGGGCATTGCTTAGCTGGCTACTTCAACAGCAACAAAGAGGCCGAATGGTATTCGGACCGACTGCTTCACAATCTGAAGATTGATGGGACGAAGGATCATGTGTTCTTCCAGAGAAACAACGAGAAGTTCAAGGCTGAGCTGGAGGGCGCTGAAGTTTCTTAGTCGCATAACTTTAGCTTATTTTTCTGTTGGGGCTTCGGGTTTCGTAAAGAGCTTGCCTATTCGAAAGCAATGTTATGCCCCCCAATCCAAGGTTCCATTGTCGCAGCTGCATTACCGAGGGGCAGGGAGTGAAGATCCGCACAAAGCTGGGCACACAGTGGAGACAAGAGCTCTGCTGGTGCTGTTTGGGCTGTTGCCAGGACGCCGGAAGCTGCAACCCGAGACTAAAACTAAATCGCTGGTGCTGGTAGAGGAGATGCTGAGGCAAGCCTGTGCAAAAATAGCCCTGTCTGGCATTCAGAGAGGCAGGGTTTCGTGCAACTTTGTCTCCGATGTTGACAGCTCCCCGATTGCCCTCAGTCTGGATTTTCTTGAAGATGGCAGCACACGAGGTTTGGCCGACCTGGAGAACTTGCATAAGGGTGCAAGCAAGGGCTGGGACAAGCTTTCGCAGCACGCTTGGTGTGGTCGCAAACTTTCAACCACTCTTCAGCAAACGAACCTTTGGGATATCTACCTCTTCCTAATATGGAGCAAGCACAACCCGAGTTCGAAGATCTGGGAGCAGTTCTCTGTACACCTTTATCCCAAGGTTGTTTTCTTTGCTGGTTACTTGCTGGAGGCCTATGTCGATGAACTTGCCAACTTGCCACTGGCACCGCTTCCCCTTTTGAAAACCAAGCATGGAAACAGTCGACGAGTTCCGAAAGTGAACAAAATCATACTTTTACAACGCGTGAAGGCGCAAAAGCGCCACAGAGGAGAAGTCATGCAGACGCACACTGACTTGGCGCCACGTCAGATCGCACTGATACGAGCTGAGGCTAATTTGGAAGTGGCTGAGTATGTCAAGCTCTTGACGACCGAGCCTCGGCATCAAACTTTACGGCTCGCTGTTAAAACCCTAGACTCTAGACCCTTAAACCTAAACTTTAAAGCACTATTTGAAAATAGAGTTTAGGGGTTAAGCCCGAAACCCTAAACCACGTTTTCATTCTGATGGTTAGGCCTTGGGCAGGTAGGGTCTGTTTACTATTTATAAAAGTGGGTTATCTTGTAGGGTTTAGATATTAATTTAGATTATTCTAGAACTTGAAGAGGTGTTTTATTTGAGATTGACCGTTACGCTTTTGCCTGCCCTGCTATGGCCTGCTGAGCACAAAGGTTTTATGTTTCAGGGTGTTGTTGAATTGATATGAGATAGATCTTTAGGCTTCTGGATGTCAGGGCCTGCTTGCAAGAACTAACTTACCTTGTCAGGCCTTTGCCGACACGCAGCATGTCCAGGTGTCCTGGGATGCGTCAACCTATGATGTGGAAACTTTAGTGGCGATCGCATACGATTACAAGAAGAACGTGTCGGGCTACTTACCCATACAAAACATCAGCCCCGTCCAGACAGCAGAGTTGCACGAAACTGTGAGGACATTGGCTGTGCAAGGCCGGATCACACGTGTCGAGAGTTACAATACAATGCGATCTTTCAGCCATGCCCTGAACTCAATTGGGCTTCCGCTTGCCGCCTTCGCAAAGCCTCCAGACCTACTTCTGGGGCCACTCCGGGCTGAGGAGGAACGGGTGCTGATGAACGGGACCTACTTCATTTATAATACCACGACACAGTCGATTCAAAGACAGGTACCGACTGCATGGAGTCTGGCGAAGCAGCCACTGTTGATCTCGGTGAGCGATCAGGGACCGCTGAACTGTCCTGGTCTCGATCACTTGCAGTTCAAGCTTCGTGGGTTCGTGCTTCCCTTGTATGATCAGAGTCATCGTACATGGAACGACTTGAAGTCGGCCATGAGGAGTGTGAAGCTCTTTCGCATCCTCCTGCAGTTCTCCATTCTCTACAACATGAATTATGGACCTGGAGGCACCAAGGCTTGGATGGCCAAGAAGCAACAGTATGCAGAGGAATTTAGAGCCAAACAGACAGCTGATGGCAAAATCTTCCTCAGCTACATGCCGTACATCTGCCATGAGATGGGCCTTTCGGAGCCAACGACTGCTGAGGAGAGGGAGGCACTCTTCGGGACGATCACTTCGCTGCAGACGCTGCAGCAGCATGGACCACTCGTCAAACTCATGAGATGGTTTTCTTACTTCCAATCGCACCAATTTTATGCTGGCGAACACTTCTGGACAAAGATGCTGATTGGGGAAGGTGGGCCGCCACAGCAAGGCATCCAGCCTGAGGCAGTGCTGACACCGGATATCTTGGCCGGCAATCTGGACGATCGAGAGGAGCTACGACAACTCAAGCTCAAGATGGGCTCATGGCGACTTGCACCGTTGCTCGTAACACCATGGACCTGGTGGAAAAACGAGCTTTTGGTTTCCATGGCGACGCCAGTCTGGAGCTGCTTCACACAGAAAGCACCTTGGGTTATTGCTAGTCGATGACATCAGCCCTGAAACCCTCAACCCCTCGAACTTCGGGGCCTGGCTCCGATAATAGCTGCACTTCCGCCAAAGACAAATTACCAGGCTTCGCAGACTACGCCTTCGATGAGTAGTCGCTGCTGAACCTGTCTGAAATCAGCAGTCTGAAATCAGCCGTCTGAAATCAGCTTCGTCTGAAATCAGCTTCGTCTGAAATCAGCAGTCTGAAATCAGCATAGCCATGCTGTAGTCGCTGCTGAACCTGTCTGAAATCAGCAGTCTGAAATCAGCCGTCTGAAATCAGCTTCGTCTGAAATCAGCTTCGTCTGAAATCAGCAGTCTGAAATCAGCATAGCCATGATGCCTGCAGAACTTGAGTCCTGAAACCCTCAATCCCTCGAACATCTAGCTTCTCAATCCGAAGCAATGATTAACTCTTGATGCAATTGAGACCCTACCAAACCGCTCCAGGCCCAGCAGCTCAAGTTGCCTCACGAGATCGCCGGTGACATCGCCAAAAGAGCTGCGACCAAGCTCTGGGCCGAGGAGATCCACGCTGTGATCGGGAATGGCTTCTTTGATGGGCCTCAGAAACTGTACCCGGCTCGCTTTCTTTCAAACGAGGAGGAAGGACAGTGCATCTCTTTGCACTTTCGGTACCTCATGCAGCTACTTCAGCTGCCTGGCCTTTTTTATTTTGGTCCTCGACACCTAGTCAGGACTTGCTGAGCCTTACCATCCTTCTGGGTTGAGTCCATTTCAAGGTTTATAGGGTTTAAGAGTTTAAGGTTTAGGGTTTGGCGCTTAGGGTTTAGAAGGTTTAGGGTTCAGGGTTTACAGGGTTTAGAGTTTAAGGTTTAGGGTTGAGGCTTTAAGCCCCCACACTACCGAAGACTGAATAAGGAGACGTGTGCAGAGCTCCGCTTCGTACTACCTCCGACCGCCTTTTCGATATGCTGGGGCACTTCTTGCAGAAAGCAGGGAGACCACCCTTCGCCAGATGCATGCCGACTGGGCAGCCGTCTTGAAGGCCGAGAAAGCCATGGCTGGTGGAGCAGGCATGGAACCCCTGAAGGAGATGCATTGGCGGCTGAATTCCGTCAACAGGCTGATCCACTTGATCCGGGACATGGCCGAGGTCGCTTCAACAACAGCCGAACGCCGGGCCTACAACAACCAAGTGGTTGAGCTTCTGACCTTCGTCAGCACGCATCTTGCCGACACAGTTATCGTGGAAAATACACATCAGATGGCCAAAGACGCGCTCAGGGACGCACGCCACTTTCAAAAATCTCGGACAGGGAAGCAAGTTGCTTGCATACGCTGCAGTGCAATACCGAGCCGTGGTGTGCCCTGCTTGAAGGTGTCAGATGATCAGAAAGCCACTGCTTCTGCGGGCAAGTCCTCGAGCTTTGACAAGCTCACGCACCCCAACACCCATGCCTCCCGCCTCAATCTATGTCTGCAAACTCTAAGGCCCTAAGACTCTCAGGATCATTAAGGGCTCTATTTCCGACTACCCTAACTCCGCAAATCCTAAGGTCCGAAGACCTTAAAATTTGCTAAAGAAAGCTCTTCTTTGTCTTCGACTCAGGCTCTCAAAAAGGAGTTCCAGAGGCTCATGGAAACTAAAACGAAGCAGCATACGTGGCCGAGCACGACCCAGCAGATGGAGTGGCAGCAAGTTGTGGCTACAGAGTGGTTCCTCTGCTACATGCAAGATGAGGACAAGTTTGCAGCTGGCCCCAACTCTGCTTGGCTGTCTGTCTTGGCTGGGGCAGCAGGCGAGGTGGTAGCATGCCAGCGTGCAGGAGAGATCATGTTGATCTTGGCTGTTGGATCTTATGGCTTCGCTGCTTGGGACCTGGAGCTGGCGGCAGGAGTCCGCACGGCTGCTGGGATGTCGGCTTTCCGGCCCTACAGGCACAATGCCATCCGATTCCACCACATCACGGAGCTGGAGGACTGGGTTTCCGTTCCTGTCAAGCCTGGCCTGTCTGGCCCGCACGGCCCGCTGCACCTGGAACAGACCTCTGAGGCCATGTCGCTGCCCTTGGCTAGAATCCATGCCGGACTCAATCTGACATGCAAGCAGTGCCAGGACCTGTTGGCATTGTTCAAAGTCAACTTTCGCAAAAACCAGTCACGAGCCAGCTTGCACGGCCTAATCCTCGATCTTTTCTTGGAAACCGAGCACGAGAAAGAAGAGGCCAGGAGGAAGATGGCTGCCTGCTTGCTTCCACAAGAAGAAGAACACGCTGAGGACAGTGACATGGAGGAGTTGTTGGAACAGCTCGAGGATCTCGAGAATCAGGGCGATCCAGAGATCCAGAAAGAGAAGGAGAAGATCAAACAAAGGAGAACTGGACGGATCGCTGTCCCCAGAGCTGCTGGTCCCGACGAGGGAGAACAAGTTCCGAAACGGAAGGCTAAGGCCAAGGCTCCGCCAAAGCAACGGAAGAAAGGCTTGCTCGAGCCGAAGATGAAGGCTCATCTAGGGCACGGGTTTACAGGCTGAGGGCTTTGGATTTTGCTGGGTTTGGAGTTTAGTTTCAGAGTGAAGTTTAGCTAGCTCTCGGGCTCAGGGTGATTCTCTGCAGGCACGACGGAAGAAAACTCTGAAGGCCAAAACGGCAGCCCGTCGCCGAGAGGAGGAAGCCAAGAAGAAGGAATCGAACTTGAAACCTTTTTGTTGCTTAGGGTCTGGGCTAGGGTATCTTGGGAACTAGGGTGGAGGTTCAGGTTGTTGGGTTTAGGGTTTCGTCTTGAAAGCTTTCAACCCTGAACCCCACACACAAGACCTGAAGCGCAATCTGTAAGGCCGAAATTGAAATGGACCAGGGAGCCCATGACAGAGATGAGGAAGCCATGTTTGCAGATGAGGAGGCCATCTTGACGGTGTCGAGCTGCTTAGGGTTTGGGCTAGGGTATCTTGGGAACTAGGGTGGAGGGTCAGGCTTTTGGGTTTAATCAGGTGTTGCGGACTGAAGGCTCTCAACCCTGAACCCCACACCCAAAACCTGAAGCTCAATCTGGAAGGCCGAAATGGACCAGGAAGCACCTCGCAGAGAGGAGGAAAACATCTTTGCACAGGAGGAGGCCATCTTGACGGTGTCGAGCTGCTTCTGCTTTGGGCTAGGGTATCTTGGGAACTAGGGTGGAGGTTCAGGCTTTTGGGTTTAGGTGGTTCGGATTGAAGGCTCTCAGCCCTGAACCCCACACTCAAAACCTGAAGCTCAATCTGGAAGGCCGAAATGGACCAGGAAGCCCATCGCAGAGAGGCAGAGGAGGAGGCCATCTTGACGGTGTCGAGCTGCTTCCGGTTTGGGCCAGGGTATCTTGGGAACTAGGGTGGAGGTTCAGGCTTTTGGTTTTAGGGGTTTTCGGTTTAGGTTTTTCGGTTTAGGCTTTAGGGCTCTCAACCCTAAACCCCGAAACCCTAAACCCGAAACCAAAGACGAAGCCCGCCGCCGAGAGGACAAAGCCATTGTCGAGTTTGAAACTTTTGTGTGATTTGTCTAGGGTTCGGGCTAGGGTATCTTGGGAGTTGTGGTGTAGGTTTGGTTAGTTTGGGCTTGGGCTTTCAACCCTCAAACCGAAACCCTATTCCCGAAAGCCAATCTGACAGGCCGAAGAAAAGGCCGAAGAGGAAGTTTGGGCTCGGGTATTTGGGGAATATGGTTCAGGTTTGTGTTGTAGGATTTCGGGTGTAGGCTTGAGGGCTCTAGGTGCTGGTGGTGCTGCTGGTGAGGGTGTGGCTCTATACTAAACCATCAATCCCCAACCCGAAGTACCAAACCCGAAACCCAACCTGGAAGGCTGATGAAGAGGAAGCCCATCGCCCAGAGGAGGAAGCCGAGAAGGAGTCGAGTAAGGCTTGAGGGCGCGAAACGATCTATCCCCAACCTTAAGTACCAAACCCAAATCCCAATCTGGAAGCCCCATATGGACCGTCGCCTACAAAAGGAAGCCTATTTGTGGTTTAGTGTTTGGGGGTATCCTAGGGCGAGGGGTTGAGGTTTTAAGGTTTCGGCTTGAGGGCTCCTCAACCCAACCCAAAACCCAAAGCCCGATCTGGAAGGTCGAAGACGAGGCCGCAGAGGAAGCCCGTCGCCGAAAGGAGGAACCCACTCTTTTTGTGCTAAGGTTTGGGCTAGGGTATTTTGAAGTATCTTGGTAATATGGTCTGGTTTGGGCTTTAGGTTTCAGCCTTCAGGGGCTTGCCTTTTGTGGGTCTAGGTATCGGGTTTCCAGTGTCGGGTGCTGAGTTCAGGCTGGCCCTCAGAATGCTGCCGCTTCCAGCAGCCTGCCTGCTCCCAGTGCCGGTCCTGCCCCATCCGATGCAGCCCTTGGGACTAAATTTTCTTTGCTCTATGTTGAGCTGCATATCAACTTGAGTTGTCTGTTTTGTGAATTGAAACTCCCTGGCTCCCTCAGACCTCGCCCCTACTATTCAGCTGAGGAGGATTCTGTGGTACCTGCTTCCAGTCGTCGGGGTGCACCGAGAATTCACAGCTCTCCAATGGAACTTCTTGACCAATTATGTGCTCCGCAAGCTCGCATGACTCTCAGGGTCAACGATTACAGATGGAACGTCGAGTTCAAGGCGACACACAAATATTGGGTGGAAGAGTTTGGAAAGAAAAGCTTCTCGAAGACGTTCACCAAGCAAAATTGGCAGGATCCTCTCAGGCAGGTACACTGCCATATGTGGACCAAATGGGATCTTGCAAGGGATGACTTCCCGCTTGATGAAGGCATCGAAGAACAACACCCTGGTGTGGTGGACGCTGATGTTCTTCGGGGCCTGGCTCCGATAATAGCTGCACTTCCGCCAAAGAAAAACTACTAGGCTTCGCAGACTATGCCTTCGATGAGTTCGTGCTGTAGTCGCTGCTGAACCTGTCTGAAATCAGCAGTCTGAAATCAGCAGTCTGAAATCAGCTTCGTCTGAAATCAGCAGTCTGAAATCAGCAGTCTGAAATCAGCATAGCCATTGGAAGCGGCTTCGGGTCTGAAATCAGCAGTCTGAAATCAGCAGTCTGAAATCAGCATAGCCATGATGCCTGCCTCACTCCTCAGCCGAAGCGGCATTCCAACTAACCGAACGGGCGGGAGGAAAAGAGCAAATGGGGGAGGCCGCTAACCCATGATTAGGTTATATCTCTTTCTGCTGAGCACATACTTTCTGTTCTCTTGGATCGACGACAGAATGACACTGCCCATGGCTCTCTCGAAAGCGTTTGCTTGGACGGCACACTAGCAATGAGTTGAGGTTTTGCATTCCGGGTAAAGTGTTCTCTCGAAGAATGTCATGTACTTGGTCCCTTGTCACGTGCCATGTCTTGGTTGGCTTGCTGCTTGCTTTCGACTCGCCCTACCCATCCTGCATGCCCCAGCTCCGTGGTCTTACAGACCGCGCTCCAGTCGGGCTCGGACCCGAGTTATGGGTCCTTGACCGTGCGGGACAGTGTCGTTGGCCGGCGCTGGGGATTTATTCTGTGCTCGCCTAGCAAAGTGGTGTGCCCACGGCAGGTGATTCAGCGCAGATTGCAGGGAAGGCCCGACTACTAAATACTATGCCACGTACCCGCGCCCGCGGGCAAAGTCTTGAAGCACTTTGCCCATCGCTGGAAGTTGCCCGCGTGGCCCTGCATGGCATCTTATGTCACACCAACCTTACCAACAAGTCGCGGTGTGTCCAGTTTTGATTCACCAGCCGCGCTTGCATGCCGATGGCCGGGCATGGGGTCGCTTTGGGGGACCGCGGAAGACGGAACCGACGAGGACTTGGGGCCAACCACCAGAGCGGACACCTGGTGATGACAGCCAGCCACATGGGCTAACGTGCTGGCTGGGTCCGAGCTCGGCACCCGAGTGTCCACCTCAGCAACATGGGAGGCCAAATATCGAGCAGTAGTACAGTAATTAGAGTGTCAGTCGAACCTCCTCGGGGTTGCCTTACCTAAGGAGTAAACCCCTGCCCCATCGGGGTTGCTCCCCACACCATTGGCCAGGTGTGAGGCGTTCGGTTTGCCTGTGTCACAGCCTTGAGGCCAACCTATCCCAGGGGCAGGGGATAGATGACAGCCGGGCACATGGGCTAATGCGCCGGCTGGGGCCTGACCTGGTGACATCGAAGCAGTCATGCAAGTCACCGGAAGCAATACCGGACAAAGAAGGGAGGCCGTTCTTGGGACATGGCTGTGTTGTTGAGCTGGTGTGTTCCTCCGTCTCATTCATGCCTGTTATCACAGAGAACCTTGCTGTTGGGTTGTCTTTGTCGAAGGCAGAGTGCCAACATGTTCAGAATGGGGTTTGGTGTATGTTGCTCTACCAAGCGGCAGCTGCATGCCCGCCAGTTTTGGCAGCTACACTGAGCACATCTGGCGGTTTCAGCTGGGGGAAACAAGCACAAGTCTAGAAAAGTGTTTGAAGTTCTCCGCAGATACAACGAAGAATTTCGAATAATAAACCTCGGTGTTCCATTTTGGCAGGTCCTCGAGCCGTGCCAGGAAGCTTAAACCATGAGCCCTAAACTTCCCTAAACCGTGTTTAAGCTTCAAATTGAAACCCACAATCTTCCAAATAATTTGAGTGTCCACCTCAGCAACATGGGAGGCCAAATATCGAGCAGTAGTACAGTAATTAGAGTGTCAGTCGAACCTCCTCGGGGTTGCCTTACCTAAGGAGTAAACCCCTGCCCCATCGGGGTTGCTCCCCACACCATTGGCCAGGTGTGAGGCGTTCGGTTTGCCTGTGTCACAGCCTTGAGGCCAACCTATCCCAGGGGCAGGGGATAGATGACAGCCGGGCACATGGGCTAATGCGCCGGCTGGGGCCTGACCTGGTGACATCGAAGCAGTCATGCAAGTCACCGGAAGCAATACCGGACAAAGAAGGGAGGCCGTTCTTGGGACATGGCTGTGTTGTTGAGCTGGTGTGTTCCTCCGTCTCATTCATGCCTGTTATCACAGAGAACCTTGCTGTTGGGTTGTCTTTGTCGAAGGCAGAGTGCCAACATGTTCAGAATGGGGTTTGGTGTATGTTGCTCTACCAAGCGGCAGCTGCATGCCCGCCAGTTTTGGCAGCTACACTGAGCACATCTGGCGGTTTCAGCTGGGGGAAACAAGCACAAGTCTAGAAAAGTGTTTGAAGTTCTCCGCAGATACAACGAAGAATTTCGAATAATAAACCTCGGTGTTCCATTTTGGCAGGTCCTCGAGCCGTGCCAGGAAGCTTAAACCATGAGCCCTAAACTTCCCTAAACCGTGTTTAAGCTTCAAATTGAAACCCACAATCTTCCAAATAATTTGAGTGTCCACCTCAGCAACATGGGAGGCCAAATATCGAGCAGTAGTACAGTAATTAGAGTGTCAGTCGAACCTCCTCGGGGTTGCCTTACCTAAGGAGTAAACCCCTGCCCCATCGGGGTTGCTCCCCACACCATTGGCCAGGTGTGAGGCGTTCGGTTTGCCTGTGTCACAGCCTTGAGGCCAACCTATCCCAGGGGCAGGG